CTCGGCACAACCAGATGAAGGAGGCAGCCTAATGGGTATGCACTACATCCCCATCTTCGTCCTCTTGTTCTTGAGTTCTTTCTGCAAATCGGACGACCAGCTAACACAAGCAAAGTCACTCTCCCATGATGACAAGCTCATCTCCAAGAGCGGGGACTTCACTCTTGGCTTCTTCTCCCCGACCACCTCCAACAAGAGGTTTTATCTTGGCATATGGTACCACAGCCTTCCCGGACCACCACCGTCGTGTGGGTTGCCAACCGAGACAACCCAATCACCGCCCCTTTGTCCGCCAAGCTCATCATCACTAACAGTTCTCAAATGGTATTGTTTGACTCCAGAGGCCACAATATTTGGATGACACCAAGCAATAACACTGCTGGAGCGCCAGGAGCTTACGCGGAACTAAGCAACTCTGGGAACTTTGTTCTCCGGTTGCCAAGTAACACTGACATATGGCAGAGTTTTGATCACCCAACCGACACAATCCTTGCAGGCATGAAGTTTTTGGTGAGCCACAAGGCACAAGTCATCACGCAGCTTGTTGCTTGGAAGGGCCCGGATGATCCATCTTCTGGGGACTTCTCAGTCAGCGGCGAGCCTAGCGCCCCAGACCTTCAACTTGTCACTTGGAAAAAAACTAGGCCATACTGCCGCACTGTGTGGAACGGTGTGTCAGTGTCCGGTGGCACATATCTATCAAACACCAGCTCCATCCTTTATCAGACGGTTGTCAACTCTGGAGACGAGTTCTACTTCACGTACGCAATCTCCGACAACTCGGTGTACACACGCGTCATGCTTGATTATACTGGCAAGTACAGGTCTCTAGCATGGAACAATCACTCGTCATCATGGTCACTCATCAGTGAATACCCCACTGCTGCATGCGAGCTCTACGCCTCATGTGGCCCATTCAGTTACTGTGACTTGACTCAAATGGTCCCAACTTGCCAATGTCTTGAGGGGTTTGAGACTGTCAATGCTGCAAATTTTTCTAATGGATGTCGGAGAAAGCAAGGGTTGAAATGTGGCAATCAAAGTCATTTCGTGGCCTTGCCTGGGATGAAAGTTCCTGACAAGGTCTTGCATATACACAACAGAAGCTTGGATGAGTGCGAGGCTGAGTGCAGGCGCAACTGCTCATGTGCAGCTTACGCTTATGCTAACTTGAGCGGGGCCATAGGTATGGCTGACCCGTCAAGGTGCTTGGTATGGTTAGGGGAGCTTGTCGACATTTGAAAGACAATCAACGGCGGTGAGAGCCTGTACTTATGGCTTGCTGATTCTCCTGGTATTGTTCCATCCCCTCCTTTCTTCCCAAGTAATTAGTATGTACTCTTCATATTAACACTGATATTCACAAAGGGAGCGTGTGGACATAAGATTTCTAATGAAAATACCTAGATTATAAAATGTTGTACTAGCTTATTGCCTGTGTCCATCTAATTTTCCCATCACCTTGACATGATATTTGAATGATGACATGGTAATCAAGATGTGAACATTGTTTTCCTACTTTAATATATGTACCAAACCCAACAAGATTATAATACTATAGACGTGATGTGTGGCGAAAATTTAGGCATATCATTTTTAACCTAATCTATTTTTCTTGAATGGTATCAACAACTAAAATTTAGAAGTTCCATATCCAAAACGTCACATTTTCAATAACTAAAGAGAGTAATATGGAACATCCTTTTTATCAAACTGGCAATTCCTTTCAAGATCATTTACAAATACAATAGATATACTTTTCCATTCTTGACAAACCTTCAGTTTCAAATGTGTTTACAATTCTTTTCAGATTTCATGTCTTAGCTTTTCCATAAGGAAATAGCCAGTAACTGCCATGACCTCACACTAGCCAAATATAATTATTTAATTTGGAGGGGTAGTTTGTATACACGAGCATAAATACTCTTTTAAAATGATCGAATCTTTATTTTACCACAACCCGTGGTAGACCAGCTAGCTAAATTAGGTTAGTCTAGACACTTAGTTTAATTGCACAGACCCATCATGGTACTTATTCAAGTAAATTCCAAAATTTTGGTTTGTTGCATTTTTGCAGTTTATAAGGGGATCAGTTCAGTAAAGATTATAATCCTGATTATAGCATGTCTGCTGCTACTAACATGCGTATGCCTTTTCTGGGTGTACAAATATAGAGGTAGAGTAACAAATGTCCTCTTGTTTTTATATATGACACTAGTGTAAATGTTAAGTAAAAATTGATGTCCTAACAAGCAGGCAAATTGCAAAAGAAGGAAAAGCAGAAGAAACTGTCGCGAGGATACTTTAGCAAATCCAATCATCTCGAAGACAAACATATAGAATTTCCATTTGTTAGCTATGGAGACATCCTTTCAGCAACAAATTCTTTCGCTGATTCCAACTTGCTTGGACGGGGAGGTTTTGGCAATGTTTACAAGGTAATAGATTGTGGTTATTAGAATTTGTTTCGACAGAAGATCAAACAAACATATTTTACACTTCAATTGTTGTTTGACTCCTAAAACACCCCTAATTCTCAAATCATTTTTATCCAACTATAAAGTTATTGAGAGAAATAGGTTAGTGGGGGTCACCTATTTAGTAATATATATAGGATTACATTATTGAAAATAAGCAGCATAATGGAATGGAGCATTTTTTCCATGCACGGATGCATGTTGAGGTCGGCCGCTTCCTATGCATGGTTGCATGTTGAGTTGACATGTTGTGGGAAATTGGTTAGTGGGGATCACCTATTAGTAATATGGAATTGCTGAAATATATGTCCATGTTGATGCCACATAGTCCAAAATGAGCGTGATCTGGTTGAGTTGGTGATTTGCAGTAGTTTTGATATTCAAGGACATAACGAAACCAATTCTAGAGTTGAATAATATCTTGTGAGATCAGAAAAGGGGTTAAAATATACTCCCTCTGTCCCAACTTTGGGATGGAGGGAGTAATTCTTTTTGTGAAAAGGTATCTTTATTAGATCAAAAAAAATTGGTTTCCAACTTGTTCAAGTGAAAAATATGTGCTCATGTAGGGCACACTTGAAGGTGGAAATGAGGTTGCTGTAAAAAGGCTTAGTCAGAGCTCCGGACAAGGTATAGTGGAGTTCAAAAATGAAGTGATTCTAATTGCCAAGCTGCAGCACAAGAACCTAGTCGGACTTCTTGGGTCGTGCATTCATGAAGACGAGAAGTTACTGATCTACGAATACTTACCTAACAAAAGCTTGGATGTTTTTCTTTTCGGTAAATCCCTTTTCTCTTTTGTTGAATGCACATTAGAAAATTCTTTAAATTAACCAAAGTGTTAATCATGTTGACAAGATTCATCCTATATTAAACATGAAAGATGCTTCACGCAAACATGTGCTTGACTGGTCGACACGGTTCAAAATAATTAAAGGAATAGCAAGAGGTCTTCTTTATCTCCATCAAGATTCAAGACTAACAATAATTCACAGAGATCTCAAAGCAAGCAACATCTTGTTGGACACAGAAATGACTCCCAAAATTTCAGATTTTGGTATGGCAAGAATTTTCGCTACAAACCAAAACCAAGCAAACACTACCAGGGTCGTTGGGACATAGTAAGTAATTGGTTTACCAACAAACCCTTGACATTGCTATTTTATGGTTTGCTACAGTTTGTTTTGAGGATTCCTTGACTTGTTTAATGATTAAACAGTGGTTACATGTCGCCTGAATATGCGATGGGAGGTGCTTTTTCTGTAAAATCAGACACATATAGCTTCGGTGTTCTTCTTTTAGAGATTGTCAGTGGCTTGAAGATCAATTCACCTCAGCTCATAACAAAATTTTCTAGCCTTATCACTTATGTAAGTATGATTGTAAGATATTTTGGAGAGTTTGGCAGGCCGCCTGTGTGTATTTGGAGAGTTTGGCAGGCCGCCTGTGTGGTTGTGGGGTTTCATGTCGTGGGAGTAGTTTGTTCGTGCTTAGTTTGTATTGGTTTTCGCCCGGTTTTTCATAAATTAACTGGGCAATTCTCTTCTTCTTAATTAATCGATGAGGCAAAACTTTTGCCTCCGTTTCGAAAAAAAAGATATTTTCAATCTTCCCGCCCCCCTTTTCCCAGCAAAAAAGTTAGTAACTTGATGTTGACCTCACCCTATTGCTCAGGCATGGAGATTGTGGGAAGATGGAAACACAATTGAACTTGTGGACTCTTCCTTTGTTGCAAGTTTCCGACTTCATGAAGTTCTGCGTTGTATTCATGTGGGACTCTTGTGTGTTCAGGACCGTGCTAGGGATAGGCCACTTATGTCATTGGTTATGTTTATGTTCGAGAACGAAAGCGCACCGCTTCCAGCTCCAAAGCAACCTGTGTATTTTGCTCTAGGTACTTGTGCTGACCAAGAAGGAAGGGAGATTACATCGAACTCTGTGAATGCAGTGAGTATCACAACAGTTGATGGCCGTTAGTATATGCAGATCTTAGTACAGCTTAATTGTATACTCTATGGCTTGCTCTCCGTGAGCTGATCTTTTGTGTGGTTATTCATAATAACATGTACTCCATATGAGTTTATTATATTATATGAGAGAAGTTGTGAATAACAGAGGGAGAACCGTCCTCACCCCTACCCCTGCAACTCAATATGCCGTACTAAATGTATAGTACCATTTTTTTTACTTCCAGAGTCATCCATGATATAATATCCTACTACTTAATAAGCTGTTTGATCACTTAATTTTGTTTATGTTTCCAAAACATTGCAAAATACTGTAGCCATCATTTAGTTCATGTAATTGTAGCAAACTCCATTTGATTCATTAAGCAAATTGTCTTCATGTCACTGTGGCAAACGCCATTTGTTCCATCCATCAAACAAATTGGACACTGAACTCAAGATTCTCTCCTTTGCACCTCAAGCAAATAACCTATACAAATTAAGTTCAGAACAGGAATCAAAATGCGCTTCCGCTTTAGTACCTTTGCTCAAGCCGGGACTACGAAGACTCTGAAATGCTAAATTGCCTTGGATTCAGCGGACCGGTCGACCCCACAGCACGGCCGGACCGTCGCCCCGCCTTTGCTCGCATCGGCTCCGTGACAAGCGGCTGCCACTGCGCCACCATGGGCTGAGCCGGTTGCTTCCTCCGATGCCTGTACGCCTCTCAACTGGCGCGCCACACTGGCAAGCGCCGAATACAGTGCATTTCGTACAGGGCGCGCACACCCCTCTGTACACTTGTTTTTGTAGCTGGGCCGGCCCGTTCTACTGATTTCTGTTTGTAAAACAAAAACTAGAGCGCACGCCAGGTTTCAAACTGCCGATCTCCTGGTTAATACACGCTAGGCTAACCACCCTGCTACGTCCACCTTACAGGCTCAGTAGAAACTTCTTCCATCTTTTCATCTTACGTCTTTTTCTTTTTTCTATTTTTTCTTTGCTCTCTTTTCCTTTTCCTTTTATCATTGTTCTTTTTTATTGGGAATGGTTTTGTTCGGTTTTTTATTCTTTTTTCTTAATGCTAATTGAAAGAAACTTTTTAAAACCATTGAACTTTTTTCGAAATTGATGAACTTTTATCAAATTGAACGAACTTTTTCAAAACCGAATGAACTTTTTTTCAAATTCAATGAACATTTTCTAAATTTAATGAACTTTTTTCAAATTGGATAAACTTTTTTCTTAAATTCGTGAACTTTTTTCTTCAAAATCGATGAGCTTTTACCAAATCTGATGAACTTTTTTCAAATTTGATTTTTTTTCTTCAGATTTGATGGACTTTTTCCATATTCGATGAACTTTTTTTGAATTTGATGAACTTTTCTTTGAATTCAACGATTTTTTTTCAAATTTGATGAAATTTTTTTAAAATTTGATGAATTTTTTTAATTTGATGAACTTTTTTTCAAATTTGATGAACTTTTTTTCAATTTTTGATGAACTTTTTTGAAATTTGATGAACTATTTTTCAGATTCAATGTTTTTTTCAAATTCGACGAACTTTTTCAAAATCGATGAACTTTTTTCTAAGCACAAGAGTACGTACTATAGCCAACTTATTTATTTTTTTAAATCAAGCCAACTGGTTTTTTCCTTAAGAAAATGTGTATGTACTGTAGCAATTTAGCCATAGAAAAAAAATCGAGGGGAGCCAGGGATAGAGGGAGCGGCGGGGGGCAGCGATCGAGTGAGCCACCAGGGCAGCGAGCGGGCGAGCGGGAGGAGCCAGCTAGGGAGCAAGCGTTACTAGGCCAGGCCCAGTCAAGCTACGCAGTGGGTACTGCGTTCGCCAACGGGCGCTGAAGGCGCGAAAGAGGAGCTCTCGTCAAAATCACTAATTGAGGAGTACTCCTTGCGAAGATCACTCCAACTTCCCCGGGTTGCGACAAGTGGCGCGCTGTATGTGCGCCACTTGTCGCAACCTGGGAGTTTTCCCTTTTTTCGTAGATCCGTTTATTCAAAATGTTTTATCTCTTAAACCGTGCGTCCAAATCTCGAACCGTTTTCGGCATTGGATTCCTCGCGTCGAGATCTTCAAAACTAGATCCCATGTTGATAGGCTTTGAAGAACTTTTTTTCACGAAAAAACCGGACAAAAAAACCAATGAAAAAACCGAACCGGCAACACGGGTTTTTTCCCTTTCCGAAAGAGGCACGCCCGTGCCTCTGACGAAATCACAACCATGCCTCTCATGAAAACAAAACCGTGCCTCTCACGAAAGAAAAAAAAACAGAAAACACATTTTTTTTTCCTTTTCCGAAAGAGGCACGCCCGTGCCTCTCGCGAAAGTACAACCGTGCCTCTGGCGGAAGCAAAACCGTGCCTCTCGCGAAAGAAAAAAAAACAGAAAACACGTTTTTTCCCTATCCGAAAGAGGCATGCCCGTGCCTCTCATGAAAGCACAACCGCGCCTCTGGCGAAAGCAAAACCGTGTGAAAGATCGTGGATGTCGCCTAGAGGGGGGGGGTGAATAGGCGTTTTAAAATAATTATGGTTTAGGCTTGAACAAATGCGGAATAAACCTAGCGGTTAATTTCTCAAGCACAAAACCTAAAACAACTAGGCTCACCTATGTGCACCAACAACTTATGCTAAGCAATATAAGCAACTATGTGATAGCAAGATATATGACAAAGAACAATATGGCTATCACAAAGTAAAGTGCATAAGTAAAGGGCTCGGGTAAGAGATAACCGAGGCACGCGGTGACGATGATGTATCCCGAAGTTCACACCCTTGCGGATGCTAATCTCCGTTTGGAGCGATGTGGAGGCACAATGCTCCCCAAGAAGCCACTAGGGCCACCGTAATCTCCTCACGCCCTCGCACAATGCAAGATGCCGTGATTCCACTAAGGGGCCCTTGAGGGCGGTCACCGAACCCGTACAAATGGCAACCCTTGGGGGCGGTCACCGGACCCGTACACTTTGGCAACCCTTGGGGGAGGTCACCGGTACCCGTCAAATTGCTCGGGGCGATCTCCACAACCTAATTCGAGACCCCGACGCTTGCCCGGAGCTTTACACCACAATGATTGAGCTTCGAACATCACCAACCGTCTAGGGCGCCCAAGCACCCAAGAGGAACAAGCTCAAGGGCACCAAGCACCCAAGAGTAATAAGCTTCTCAACTTGTAACTTCCACGTATCACGTGGAGAACTCAAATCGATGCACCAAATGCAATGGCAAGGGCACACGGAGTGCCCAAGTCCTTCTCTCCGAAATCCCACCAAAGCAACTAATGCTAGGGGGGAAAATGAGAGGAAGAACGAAAGAAGAACACGAAGAACTCCAAGATATAGATCCAAGGGGTTCCCCTCACTTAGAGGAGAAAGTGATTGGTGTAAACGTGGATCTAGATCTCCTCTCTTTTTTCCCTCAAGAACTAGCAAGAATCATTGGAGGGATTGAGAGTTAGCAAGCTCGAAGAAGGTCAACAATGGGGGAAGAACATGAGCTCAAAGGATAAGGTTCATTGGGGAAGAAGACCCCCTGTTTTAGGACCTCCCGAATCCAACCGTTATGTGCTCAGGTCGTGCACAAGCGGGACTACCGCTTGGAGGAGCGGTACTACCGCTTAGCACGGTCAAAACAGCCCAACGAGAGAGAAAACACGAGTTTTTGGTCCGGAGCGGTACTACCGCTTAGGAGCCACGGTAGTACTGCTCTGGAGCGGTACTACCGCTCAGGAGCCGCGGTAGTACCGCTCTGAAGCGGTAGTAAAAATTTACATCCTCTCTAGTCGCGGTAGTACCGCTGCAGCCTTTACCAAAACAGCCACAACTTTTGCAAACGGACTCCAAATTCAACGAAACCAAGTTTGTTGGAAAGCTAACGACATGGGCTAACACAATATTGATAGAAATATCAAGAATAAGAAAATGAGAAAAGTCCCGTAAGAAAATGGTGAGAACCCTTCATCAGATAAGACCGGTAAAACCTCCAACACCGAAAACATCATAGAAGACGCATGCGAACTCCGTTTTCGATGAACTCAAGCTTGTCATCAAGATGACCATCAGCTATAAGACTCACAAAGATAACCAAACAAGAACCAAGAAACATGATGCAAGGATGCAATGGTTTGAGCTCTCTACTAACGATACGATCAAGCTACCAACTTGAGAGCCCCCCTTGATAGTACGGCAAATGATCCTATAACTCGGTCTCCCAACTACCACCACAAGACCGGTAAAATAGAAAACCTATCAAGGGAAAACCTTTGCCTTGCACATGGTCCACTTGAGCTAGATGATGACGATCTTGACTCCCTCAAGTTGGACCACCTTTCTTGATTGCGTTGGCTCGATGAAGACTAGATGATTGCTCCCCCATAGTCCACTATGGGTGAGCCACTCTTCGGCTCATCTTCACAAGTCCATTGACACCACAATGGATGGAAAGATTCAAGCACTTGATCTCTTCGTGATGCTCCACTTGAACTTGTACACGGCAATCTTGATGACGATCACCACTTGATGTCATCCTTTCCATGGGTTGTATGATATCTTCATCTTGATCCAAGCCCATGGATACGTACCTAACCCCATATAGAACTCTCACATAGACCATGGGTTAGTACACAAAGTGCAATGTACAAAGCTTACCATACCATGGGATCACTTGATCCCTCTCGGTATATCTTCTACGCTTTATGAGTTGATCAACTTGATTCACTATTGACTTAGTCTTGATCAACCTTGAATCTTTGTAACTCTCTTCATTTGGATGATGTATTGAAGGTAAACATGAATGATCACACAACCTTCTTCTTCAAGACATGCTTGCAATAAGCTCAACACTCGCATGACCAATCTTTGGATAATTCCTTAATAGCACCTTGGTCAACTCATAAACTCCTTGAAACCAACACATGGACTTCAAGAAAAGCCTATGGACAAATCCTTCAAATATAACTCAAGACAACCATTAGTCCATAGAGATTGTCATCAATTACCAAAACCAAA